GCACGCCACTCCACCACCCCCCCCCCCTCCCCGTTGCAGGTTGACGTGGTTCCGTCCGCCGTTGCTCCATCTCCTTCTTCTGCTTTTGTCGTCGTTCCTCTCTCCCGGGAATGCCGCTGCAGTAGCAAAGCCCATCCGCAGCATCCTGCTTGTTGCCTTTTTACTGGTCCCCCAATCTGCTACTGAGCCGCTTGGGTCCGTCATGCACCCACCACCTCTTTATTGGAGCGGGTAGTGGTAGTGGTTGCCGCTCGACTTGGACCAAGTTCCCGTTGGGTGGTTTATTCATGCAAATGCGTTTCTGGAGGTATCGTGTGTGAATATGCCTTTTTTTTCCAAGCAAGGTTAATCTGCCTACCGGCTCTTCGTCGGAGAAATGGCTTGCCAACCCATGCGCACAAGAGAAATTGACAAGCCCGTTGCAACCCCCCCACACTGTTCCCGCCTTCGTTTCCTCCGCCTGCCGAAACCCTTTGACATCACCACGCCATTAGACTTCCCAAACAGAGCAAAATCCCAAAGCCCCTTTCCAAGTGACCGTTTTATGTTGCCCAAACAACAGAAATACCTCCCTCGCTCGTTGTGTACACGCGTCGCGTGCCCGAGAAATAGCCTCGGTGGAGAGAAAAAAAAAAAAGGAAAAGCGTTGTCCACCCACATGATTTTGAGTAACAATGAAAAAAGCCAAATGAGAGGAAAACTTAAAAAAGGATTGTAGTAAAACATGAGACTGCCACCCGTCACAAGGATTCTAGGTTCCTCTAGAATTAACCTCTTTTTGTTGTTTGTGGTTTGTTGTTTTCGAGCGAGTTTTTTGGATGACGCGATGCCCTTGATCCGTCCAAGAAGAGAAGAAAATAAAGTACGAAATAAGATAAAAAAGGGGTTGTTAGTCGTGATACATGAGAGAAGAGAAGGAGAAGGGAAGAAGAAAAGGTAAATGATTTAGGGTTTAAAACGAAGGTATCCGGTCCAGGCCGCCTCGGCGGTAATAACGTAAGATGTGTAACAACAAAGAAGAAGGGGAAAACGAACGACGCCTTTCCGCATGGTGGTATCATACGATAAAAGTTTTGGTGGAATGGTGTTTGCAATGATTCCGTCCACAAAAAGAGAGAGAAAAAAAAAGCATAACGGAATCAATGACAGACAGCAGCGAGAGATGGAAAGTGGGTATCGAGAGACAAGGAGGCTCAGGGGCCACACGCGCGAATAAAAGCCACGCAAAAAAGAAGAAGAAAAAAAGAAAGAAAAAAAAATAGATGAAAAAGGATGGACTGAACCCATAAGTTCCAAATGGCAAGTACAAATCTCAACTGATGAGGCTAGAGATGCCCAAGCGGTCCCGGCTTGCAGACGAACGGTGACAGATGGCGTGTTGCTGCTGCGGCGACTGCGGCATCCTCAGCGCCGGGAGGTTGTTGACAGGCGAGCTCGGGGCCGTGGGCAGGTGCGTGTTGTGCGTCCGGGGCGAGTAGAGCTCCGAGCCGGCGGTCGGCTTGTAAGCCGTCAGCGAGCTGAAGCCCGGCAGCTTGACGTCCGAAGGGGAAAGGGACCCCGGGCGTTGGTATGGGTGGTGGTGGTGAGGGTGAGGGTGGTGGTGGTGAGGGTGAGGGTGGTGGTGGGAGGGGTGGTCGTACGACCGGCTCCCGCGCCGGACCGAAAGGTTCTTGAGCGGAGGCAGGTCGATGGGCGACCCGAGGTCCCGGTTCGAGGCGCGCGGCGAGGTGCTGTAGGACGATCCGTTGTCCGACATGAGCGAGGGCGCCGGCCCGCCGTCGACGCTGTCGGCTCCCGGGGACAGGGCCGAGGGCGATGGGAGCGGGGTGTCGTACTGCCTGCCGCTGTAGGTCGGGGACAGTGGCCTGGGCAGCGCGCGGGTTAGTGGCGGGAGCGCGTTGGGCAGGATGCGCGGGATGTCGGCGAGGGACCGCATGGGGAGCGGGCCTACGCGGCTGTACGAGGGCTCGGGCATGTCGTAGCCGAGTAGGCTGCGGGCGTGCGGGTTATGATGGTGGTGGTGCGACGGTGCTACTGCTGCTGCTGCTGCTGCTGCTGCTGCTGCTGCTGCTGCTGCTGCTGCTGCTGCTGCCGGGTGAGCATCCTGGTGGTGGTAGTGGTGGTGGTGTTGTTGGTGTTGTTGGTGTTGTTGGTGATGGTGCGCCGGGGCCGAGTCGATGGGCGAGGACAAACAGTGCTGCTGCTGCTGCTGCTGCTGCTGCTGCGAGGTGGCTACGTGTTGGTGGTGGTGGTGGTAGCCGCCGTAGCTCGACTTGCGCCTGCCGTCGCGCTTGCGGCGGTTCTGGCTCCCGTTCCACCAGTTCTTGACGGCATTGTCGGAGCGGTTGTGCAGCCGGCGCGCGATCTCGGCCCAGCGCTTGCCCATCTCGTGCACCATGCGCTCGATCTGCACTCCCTCCTCGGGCGAGATGGGCTCGTGATTCAGGCTCGGCTTGAGGTTCTGGTGGTACCGCTCGCGGCACTGCTTGGGCGTCCGCGTGCCCAGGAACTGCGCGATGCGGACCCAGTTGAGCGCGCCCTGGTGGGACACGAGCGTCATGAGCTGATGGTCCTCGGCCTGGGACCAAGGCCCTCGCTTGTGGCTGTTTGTCATGTCCGCCACACCGTCGTCCGCCTCGGCCGATCCTTGGCTGCAAGCGATACATCATCATCGTCAGTCCAGTTCCGCTCCCTTATCTCCCCCCCGCTCGCCTTCCTCCACGGATCCAGAACCTGTCCACCAAGTTTTCTTGGCTTCGTTCGTGGGAAGATTCGTTCTGGGTGCGTGCGTCTATCTCAAAAAGTCACTGCGGGCACTGTCTTAAACTTACGGGAAGAGAAACGAGGAGGCGGGGTACGTTGCGCGAGCCTGGTGAAAGTCGTAGGCACGCATGTAACTGACTGGGAAAGTCTAGTGGAGAAAGACGTTTACGGTGACGAGGACGAGGATCTGTGGCGCAAGGTAAAGTGTGCCCGCATCCGAAGACGACAAACGGACAAGCTCTAAAGGCAAGCCGGAACCGAGAAAGCGTAAGGACAAGAGGTCGACGACCAAGCTGGCGAAATGTTGACCGAGCTCCACTCGACACGATGATGCTTTGAAGGTTGAAGAAGGGCTGTTATATCCGGAGAAAGGTCGTCACTGGTGGGTTTGGGGGGCGGGTAGCGGGTAGATAGATATATGAAATATAAAAGCGCGGGCGGGCCGAACTTTGTATTGGATGGATGGCTCAAGTCGTTGCTTGCATCCGGGGCTGCGCGTTGCTTTAGTGCTTTTTTTTTTTTCTTTCTTGTATCCTTGACCCTGGGCCGTGGCACGCTCAACCCATGAAAAGAGACGAGCTGGTGGATCTCAAGAGTGTCTGGGATCCCGGGGGTATGGGAGTTTTAAGATGGGTTAGAAAAAGGAATTTAAAAAGAAAAGAAAAAGATCCCAAGATAAAAAGAAAAAGAGGAGGTGCGTGTCTGGGCACACCAGATGGAGGAGGAGGAGGAGGAGATCTACCTAGCGCCCAAGGTCGCCAGAGAACAGGTAGCACTGTGGCCCGCCAGCGGGCAGCTCAGGCGGAGGGGCTCGCTCGCTTCGGGGGACAGCTGCTAGGTCTGTGAGGTAGGTGTGTGGAGATGTGCGTGTGCAGTCAGGTATCTAGGTAGCCCATCCTGAATGGGCGTAGGTGGGGATGTCAACGGTAAGTCGACGGGATTGTGGGTGTGTCGTTCGTACGTGACGGGGGTGGAGGAGAGGGACGTGGGTCAGGGCAGGGGGCGGTGGGCAGGGGGGGCAGGGTGTGCGCGCGAAGAGGGGTGAGCGGCTTGTCAGGGGTGTGTTTGTCGCTTGGGGCTTTGCAAACACGCCCACAGCCAGGGGATGATGGGCATGGAGCAGGGGCTTCCCCGGCAGCTGGAGACAATCAGGGAAAAGATGTGAGACCGGGATGCGCTGTTGACCGTGCTCTGCACTAGACGGCACCTGTCGACCCAAACCCAAAGCGAAGAGGAGGACGGCCAAGAACGGCCTGAGCTAGGCTGCGAGAGCAACGATTTTTGTTTCCTCTTGTGCTGGCTTCCTTTATCCTTTTCCTGTTGTGGTTATTATTATTGTTATTTTCTTTTTTTTGCTGTATCTTGTCTTTCCTTCTCCATCGGTCACAGCCATGTGCGCGGCATGAGGTCAGTGGGCGTCAAGTCTGAATTCACCTGTGAGCCAGACAAAACTCTCACCCTTGGGCATGGGAACACAGCAGCTCCCTCCAGCCTTGGTCCCCACTTGCACACAGAACAGGGGGTTAGGTGTTTCCGAGAGAGGGCGGGCCTGGGGCGGCAGTGTGTACCTGGCTTGCTACGGATATTGCGGCCAAGGCCAGCGTACCGGTCCTCACGGGCGCATATGCAACATCCGCGGAAAGCCCAGGCACTGTACGAGGGGGGGCTGTCACCACAAAAAAAAAAAAAAAAAAAAGCTTCAGAGACAAACCGACTCGACGGTCTAGCAGCAAAGCATGCATGTCCGTGTGTTCCCCTCGAGCTAGGCAGGAGGCAGGGGAGGGAGGGACGTGAAGGAGGTTTCGCCAGCGGGGCCGAACGAAAAACACGTCTGCCGCCTCCATCTACCTAACCCCCAAGATCATAGCCGATGAGCGGAAGTGCGGAACTCGGAGACTCGAGTGCAAACCAAACGCAAGCCATGGGGGAGCCCAGACCAGTTGTTGCTGGGCTACCCCCAAGCAGAGCGGAGGCGGCCGGGAGCGTTTTGGCGGAAAAGGGGGCTTGTCGGATGTGCGGACCAGGGACAGAAACAAACAAGACGAGAAAGCGAGTAGTAATCGGCTCGAGCCAGCTAGGCGCGCGCCGAAGGAGGCCAAGGATCTGGCCTGGGTGTGCCCCATCAGTGATTTGGAAAAACAAGGAGGGAAAACAAACACAAGCCACCGGGCCGGGAACCTCCAGATCGCGGCTAGAGGGCGATCCAGCCCGACCGCCGAGCCTGAGCTTCACCTTTGCTGGAGAAGCGTGTGGGCAGGGAGGGGAGCGGGAGATGGATACCTGGGCAGCCAGCCCAGCCGTTCGCGCTGGTACAGTAGTCTCGATCGCCTGCCAGAAAGCCACGCGCCCCCCAGGCGGGCCAGGCTGGGGCCGAACTCTCTTCTGTGGCTGTCCGTCCTTGTCTACTGCCTCTTGCCGCTGCCTCTTGCCGCTGCCTCTTGCCGCTGGGGGTGCGTACCACGTCAATACGTGTAAAGCTTCTTCCTGTCTCTCCTTCGTGTCTGCGCGCGATGGCAGCCAACCGGCCAAACTGCCGGCCAGGGGAGGCTCGAGCTTGCGGAACCGAGGGCTACCGTCTGTCCGGCATAGCGGACGCGCGCTTGAGTCCGCGCCCACCTGTCACTCTTGTTGGGCATTTCGGCTGGCAGGAGGCAGATGCTGACAGATAAAGCACTGGCCGGTCTGGGTCCGCGCAGGGACAGTCGAGGAGAGGGGTGGCCAAGACAAGTGGTTGGTGGTGGTTGGGCTCGAAGGGTCTTTTTTTTCTCTCTCTTTTTTTTTTTTCTCTCTCTTTTTTTTTCTGACGGACCGGAGCGGAACTTCCACCGCGCCCATCATTTTGGTGATGCACACTGAAATCCAGAGCGATGCCGGCACGGGCAGGTACGCACAGCAGAGGCTGCCCACCCACCGAAGCCAAAAAGGCAGTCGCGCCTCTCGGGTGAGCTAGGCCCGATCGGGAGGGCTGGGTTGGCTAGTGGGCATGCTTGGCACATGGCAGCAATCCGTTGAAGATCAAACCTCAGGCGTCGCCCACCCACAGCTGCGCAGCCAATTCTCCGTCGGATATTGTCCCCGTTGCAGATTGTGGCAGTCGCAGGTGGCATTCCCCCACCACCAGCCGTGCGTGCATACTGAGGTATTATAGTAGGCTCTTCTATTTTTGTTATAAAATGACCGACACAGGTATCCGATGCTACCCTTCATCTGTAGCCAGCAAAGGGTCGTCAGGGGTGGGGAAAAAAAAA